GCCAGGCAGCTCTTGCGACTGAGGGCGCGTTCAATGCCGTATCCGCCGGCATCCTCATTTACAACGGACTCGTTGACTTGTTAGTGCCGACGTTCGACGAGCATGACGAAAACACCCCCAAGGATCCGATTGCGTATTTCTTTGGGTTTGTGTTTTTGTTTCTGGGTGCTGCAGCCATGAGCCTGCTCGCCATATGGGCCTAAAAACGACTGGGAAATTCGTGCTATAAATTGTAATTCTTATTTCAATCCGCCTTGCTGCGATAAGGTTATTGCAGCGTATAGATTGCATTTACTCAAAGACTTTGCATTACCTGTAAGGATTTACAAATCCTTACTGAGGCACTCGTTAGCGAGGCCATCCCGAGGGTCACGCGACGAACCTGACCTTCCTATTTCGTCGTACCGAGCCACTCCCGAGTCGGCCTCCGCTCCAATCGCAACCATCACCGAGCCATCCCATCCCGAACCCCCGCCTAGCAAGGTTTTCCCCTATTTAGGCCTCGTCACTTCCATTGTATTCAGGAATTCGGTAATCAGTCATTCTCGTTATTCGTTTTACTGCGCACTCGGCAAGTTCATTCATAACAATACCCCTTATTTTAGGAATGGTTAACTGGTTGAAGATGTAACAGATGAAGTTGGCGCTGTGTTTTCGCAGTGATCTTTCGCCGAGCTATCTCGCAAGCAAACCACCCTCCCTTCCTGATATTCCCTTCGGCATATCCAAGGCTGGCTCCTAGACTTCGTACCACTATATACCAACTCCATCCAGTAACGCGCTTCCCCTGTGATCTCCTAGCCGCTGTCTAGCAAGCAACTTTTTGATCGGGCCGATATTGTAACGGTTTCTTTCTCGCTATAGGAGCTTTTCTTAAGCGTCGACATTTTTTTAAAGCGAAAATGGGGAGCGGCGCGGGCCGAGGGAGGAAAGGCGGACCTACGGGTCGTCGACACTTTTCAACAGTCGAGGAAATGAGTACGCAGGGGAGAGCACGAGAAAAAGGGACGGGAGAGTTAGTAGAATATATGGAGGAGCTAAGCGAGGGAGAGAATGTGGATCGGAGTGAATCGGAGAAAGGGAGTACACAATTGTTTGGAGAGGAGAGTGTCGGATGTATACTTAAATGCCCTGATCGGGTCACGGAGCTCTGTCCTCTTCTCCAAACCCCTCCTTTTATGTAGCCATCTCCGTGCGTGCCTATTGAAGCTGGACTCAACCACTACCTACATAACTCCATAACAATTTCTTCTACGTTGTTCCCTTTATTTAATAATAACCTCTTCGGAAAATCGTTTTTTCCCCTCATTTTGAGTCCTCTCGCCTGATTTCTCCCTTCGCCCTTCATCTTCCACCCCAACCCTCAAACCCCCCTCCACTCCCCCTCCAACCCGCCATCGGCGTTCCTTCTCCTCTTCTTCTTCAAACCTCCTGTGTCGAGCCTGCAGAGTCAGGCACGTCATCCGAGCCTAAGTGGAAGCAGCGGCGGGTGAGTGTCAATTTCAGGCTCATACGCACCTGTCGTATTGACGCACATGCGTCGTCTTGATTTTCTTCGCGAGGCTTAATCGAAGGAGCACTTGTGGCGTAATCGTCTCTAATTGCGCTGTTCTGTTCGCCTTTCACGTTAAAGACGTCCGTCAAAGACAATAAAGGAAATAAAAAAAGTCTTCTTATTGACGTGGCGCTGATGGGAATCTGACGTGGCGTTTGTTTTCTTTGGCACCATGTCTCGTGCTACAGCCATTTCTCTCGCTCTCCTCTCCATGTGTCTCCAGCCATTCTCGACGATATGGTCAACTCCAGATTTTCACGCCTTTCCTGGTTGTGTTTATCTGCTTCTCCCGATTCTCCGCCGGTCACATTGGCAGAATCGGGATCAGGAGGACGACCCGGAGGAAGAAGGGGAGGAGGGGAGCAGTGAGGAGGAGGAGTCGGAAGAGGAGGAGGAGGAGGTGAGAGAGGGGCGATGCGACATGGACAGAACGGAGCGGGAGGGTAGGGGGAAGAGAGAGAGACTGGGTGAGGGGGGGGGGCGGGGGAGGAGGTGGGGGGGAGGGAAGGGGGCAAATGAGCGGGAAATGGAGAACGCAGCCTATTTAAAATAAGAGGAGAGAGAAGGGAACATGAAATGAAATCGGGAGAGAGGGTTGGTTCCTACCTACAGCACGTGACATACCCACACCAAGTCTCGCTTTCCAACCTGACCATGTGTGCTGCTTTCGTCGTTCCCCAAGCCCCTCTCTCTTTCTTCACGCCCCTTTCTCTTTCCCCCGATTCCTCTCATTCTCTCCCACCCCTCACTCTTTCCCCTCTCTTTCCCTGCACCCGTCGCTTCCCCTCGTCAGAAGCACAAGGGTGTGGGGGGGGGGGGTCAATCACCGTGGAGAAGGGATTGTGCTAAGGCGTTATAAGCTAGAACTTCCGTTCTTCATTTCCCCACCTCACCCTCTTTCCTTCCTGGCACCTCTCCCTCGCCCTCGCCAGAAGCACAAGGACGTGGCAGGGCGGATCGCTGTGGAGAACCCAAATGCGCCCAGAAAGGCCACAGTAAGGGATTATGTTAAGACGTCTCCGACTAGAATATGCGTACTCCCCCTCCCCCCATTCCCCCTCTCTCCGTCTCTCCATCTCTCTCTCTCCCCCTCATCAGAAGCACAAGGGCGTTGCAGGGCTGATCGCAGTGGAGAACCCAAATGCGCCCAGAAAGGCTGCGGTCAAGATTTCCCAGGCGGATGTGAGTGTAACGAGGGGGTGGTTGTGAGTGTAGCAATATGGGGTGGTTGTGAGTGTAAGGAGCTTGGGTGGTTGTGAGTATAGCGAGTTGGGGTGGCTATGAGTATAGCGAGTTGGGGTGGTAGCTGTGAGTATATCGAGATGGGTTGGTTGTGAGTGTAAGGGGAGGTTGCAGGTATATCCAGATGGGCTGTGAGCGTTGTTGAAGCCTGATGCTTGGCATTGGCAGCACCCTGTGCCACGTTTCTCCTCTCCTCTTCTCTCCTCTCCTCTCCTCTCCTCTCCTCTCCTCTCCTCTCCTCTCCTCTCCTCTCCTCTCCTCTCCTCCCCTCTCCATGGAATAACATCTTTTCCTCCTCTCTGGCTGTCACGTGGTCCCTTTTGAGTCGCCTGAAAAATAATTTGAACCCATGCCCTAGCAAAACCCTTTGTCGGATTCCCCCTCTCTTCCCCTCCCCATGGAGTTAGAGTTTATGTTTTCCTCCTCTCATATGGTTCTCTCTCGCGAGAGTGCCACACCCAACCCAACTCCCTTGCACCTCGTCCTTCTTCCCCCTTCATATCTCACCCTTCCCTCCTCCACGCTCCCATGTTCCTTCCCATCCTGGACAGACCAATGCCACCACTCAACTCTCTCGCCGTGAAAGGTGCGTTTGCATCGGGTCACGAGTCAATATGATTCCAAACATACCCTTGACAGACCAATGCCACCACTCAACTCTCTCGCCGTGAGAGGTGCGTTTGCATCGAGTCACGAGTCAATATGATTCCAAACATACCCTTGACAGACCAATGCCACCACTCAACTCTCTCGCCGCGAAAGGTGCGTTTGCATCGAGTCACGAGTCAATATGATTCCAAACATACCCTGGACAGACCAATGCCACCACTCAACTCTCTCGCCATGAAAGGTGCGTTTGCATCGAGTCATGAGTCAATATGATTCCAAACATACCCTGGACAGACCAATGCCACCACTCAACTCTCTCGCCGTGAAAGGTGTGTTCAACTCGACCTCAGATTCAAGTCAAGAGTTGACCAAACGTAGCATCTTTGAATTGAGATTGCGTGGTGTGTTAGACGGATGCACATTTTGAGGCGCCTCAAAAGGTGTGTTAGACAGATGCACATTTTGAGGCGCCTCAAAAGGTGTGTTAGACAGATGCACATTTTGAGGCGCCTCAAAAGGTGTGTTAGACAGATGCACATTTTGAGTCGCCTCAAAAGGTGTGTTAGATAGATGCACATTTTGAGGCGCCTCAAAAGGTGTGTTAGACAGATGCACATTTTGAGGCGCCTCAAAAGGTGTGTTAGATAGATGCACATCACTCGTGTTTGTTAAGGCATGGAGGGTGGTGCACATGACCACTGCACTAGTAGCAGTAGCTGGCACTAGTAGCTAATTGAGTGTGTGTCCGTGTGTGTGCGTGTGTGTGCGTGTGTGTGTGTGTGTATGTGTGTGTGTCTCTGTGCATCTGTGCTTGAGGGCAGGGAGGAGATAGAGAAGGAAAGGTCAAAGGAGCGGTACATGAAGCTGCAGGAGCAGGGCAAGACAGAGCAGTCTAAAAAGGACCTTGGTACGTGCATGCATGAAACCAAATGCAAGTCTTTTTTGTGACACAACTGAATGCTCGAGGCGCCTGAAAAAAAAAAAAAAAAAATGAATAAGCCATCTGTGATCATGATTGTTAGATCTTGGTCAGTTTATCAAATTTAAAGTTGATCATGATTGTTGTCCAACAGTTTTAACTGTTGACCAAGAGAGAGGGGGGATGGGTGGGGCACAGGAAGGCGTAAAACCTGGCCTATGTGTCTCCTCATTCTCCTCGCCAATTCTCCTCGCTTTTGCTTCATGCTTATGCTTCTCCCTTCTGCTTCATGTTGAAGCTTCTCGCTCATGTGTCTCGTGCGCCTGAATGAATAAACCATCTGTGAGATGCAGACAGACATTCGTTACCCTGCATTTTTTCTTTCCCAGTATTCAGTAACTCAATTATTTTTCCCTTGACAAGGCAAGTTCTGTTACCCCCCTTTCTTCCCCCGATTCCCATTCCCATGTCTCACTAAATGGTTTCACCATTGTGCATGTAACATTCCTCTCTCCGCAACCCTTAGCCTTCCTCCGCACACCTTTCCCAACCCCCCATTCACCTGGCGCTCTGTGCCTACAACAGAACGCTTAGCTCTTATTCGCCAGCAACGGGAAGAGGCGGCTAAGAAGAAAGAGGAGGAGCGCTTGGGTAAGTACAACCTAACGATTCGTTTCTCTATTACGTTCTTCTGCGATAGTGTCGTCTATGGGTATTTGAGAATCTTATTTCATATTCTTGCTTTCTCTTTCCTTCATGGCAACTAGTTCCACAATTTTCAAGAAAGTTCAGTGCTGACCATTCCCTTCCATTTTTCTCCCTTGATTGTCGCGTGCAGCAAAGGAGGCCAAGAAACTAGAAGCTCGCAAAAGATGACAGCATGCAATAAGGTCTGCATGCTCATAATTCCGTAAATCTTGCTGCTAACATTTGTCTCTATTCTTGTACTGTTTTTGTAGTAGTAAATAACGTGTTGGTTGATAGAGATTCACTTGATTTAGCTATTTGAACTATTATAACCCCTCCTGCTAAAACCCTGCGACTCGCGGTGCTCCCAAGGCCATTCATCCGTGCATGATTCAACGGCGAAACTGAACTGACAGTATTCCGTCCAATCCCGCACTCTCGAATTTCCGAACTTCTTGGGATAGGAGGTCCGAAAGTCTAGATAGCCCTGGGCAACAGTGGGCATCTGTTCTGACACAAGTCATTAGAGGGCGGTTTGGGCAGCTATTTTCGAACGGATGGGTGCATTCTAGTTCCAACAAATCTTTGCTAGAATGGCGAGCTCGGTTCTTTCACTTTGCGTCGCTGCATTACCCGATAATGAACTTTTTCGTGTTTGCGGTGTTCGTAAAATAACTGAGATTCCGGCACTGCACAGGTCGTGTTCGAGGTCTGTTCGCGACAGTTCCCGCCTCACATCCTGCCACGTCATTGTCCGCCGCCATCTCCGCGAATGTTATCAACGTGTCACCCTTCCATCAGCGCAAAGAAGGAAGCCTAGCCGGGTTGCTGCTCGAGCTGAGTCAACAGGATCATGGAGCGGGAATGACGGCGGAAATGACGGCGCAGAAACCGTCCGAGAGCAGCGGCAATCCGAAAATGTCTCAGACGTCGAACCTATTAAAGTGGAGATCTCGCCGAACCTGACCATCGCACTCGGCGATGAGGTTCGGCGTTTGACAGCAGGTGCGGACGGCGGTTCGGGGGGAGCAGTCAGGGAGAGCGGTCTAAGTCTGATCGAGCAGAATGAGCGGAGACGGCAAGCCCGAAAAGCTGCTGCTGCCGCCGCCGCCGCCGCTACTGCTGCTTCTTCTAGCGATGCCTCTGCTTCAGCTGATGCTCCTTCAACTGTCACGTTTGTAGATTCATCAAGAAGTGGGGAGGTAGCAGCAGCAGCAACAGCAGGACCAGACTCAACAGCAGCAGCAGCATCGCCAGCAGCGGCAGGTGAAACGAGGGCTTTCATTGCTGACGAGGCGGCGTACGTGTCCATGGTGAAACGCGCCGCGGCTGCCACGTCAGCTTGGCGACAGGCGGTACCGTTCCCCCTGAGTGATTTCTTCTTCGACCCTGACGGGGTGGGGGTTAAGAGGGGGAGGGAGGAAGAAGAACGGCTCATTCATGACATCTATTTCAAGGTACGTGCGATTTGCTGTTGTGATCTTGAAAGTCCAAGTTCTAGATATGAGCTAAAATCAAGATAAGGCACGCAAGATTTATTTGTTCATGGTTTTGTTGCGATGTACCATGCAATTACGGCCTCTGCTTCTCCGCTAGGGCAAGATTCTTCCGATCTAATGTACCCTCATCCACATCAGCCGACTCACTTAAAACTTAAACTTAAACTGATCTAATGTACCCTCGTTGCGTGCACCTGCAGGCTGAGAACGGCAGGCCTTTGGAGCAGGTCGACACAGAAGCTATCAAGGCAAAGGTATGGCTATCCGTCACAGGCTATATTGCTCCAAGGCATGCTGCTATAATATCCTCTCAGTGTAGGTCGTGAAAAGTACAGATTACCAGTTCATAGTTTGTGAAATCATGTGATTCTCTAACCCCTGTTCTGGCTCACTTCGTTTCCTTCTGACCCCAACCCCCTTGCTCTGGCTCACTTCGTTTCCTTCCTTCTGACCCCAACCCCCTGTTCTGGCTCACTACATCGGCCTTCACCCCACCTTAAGGTGCTGACATCATCAGGATTTGAGGTTGAGTCAGCAGTGAATCCACGTCAGTGCCAGCAAGGCGTGGTTTTCTATGGCCGCCTCTCTGCTCCTGCTCCCTCTGTCTATACCACCATTCAGGTAAGGCCCTGTAGCTCTGCCTGTAGCTCTGCCTGTAGCTCTGCCTGTTGCTCTGCCTGTTGCTCTGCCTGTTGCTCTGCCTGTTGCTCTGCCTGTTGCTCTGCCTGTTGCTCTGCCTGTTGCTCTGCCTGTAGCTCTGCCTGTTGCTCTGCCTGTTGCTCTGCCTGTAGCTCTGCCTGTTGCTCTGCCTGTTGCTCTGCCTGTTGCTCTGCCTGTTGCTCTGCCTGTTGCTCTGCCTGTTGCTCTGCCTGTTGCTCTGCCTGTTGCTCTGCCTGTTGCTCTGCCTGTTGCTCTGTTACCATTCATTCAGCGTGTATGTCTCCGGCAGTCCACCATGTCCAGTCCAGTTACACCAGTCTGTGTTCATCAGTGTGGTCAACAATGCATTAGCCTGTGTTCCTGACTCAGTTCACTTCAACCAGCTGCTGACTCCCTCCAAATATTCTCCCGGGCTCCCTGTACTCCTGCTCCTGCTCCTGCTCCTGCTCCTGCTCCTGCTCCTGCTCCTGCTCCTGCTCCTGCTCCTGCTCCTGCTCCTGCTCCTGCTCCCCTCAGTCCAATTTCGTCCTCCTCCCCTCCGTCCGCCTTCCTCCCCCTCCCGTCTATCCCCTTAACTCCTCCTACCTTTCTCCCACCAGGCTCGCCTAGACACCTCATTCCCGGGCCTCTGCGCAGTGCTCGCTAGAGACGACATCATCCGGCCGGCAATCAGCGTCCTTATTGCCCCGCGGCAACACCTCCTCTCCTTCTCCCTTCCCCGCCCCGTCTTTGCCTTCATCTCCTGCCTCACTCTCTCGCTCTCCCTCCTCATCCTCTCCTCCTCTCTCTCCGTTGACCCCACACTCTCTCCCACCACCTCTCCTCTCCTCACTGCTGCCACTGTGCCACTTGGCGTGCTCTTAGTGGCTGCTGCCGGTGCTGGGGGCAGGGCTATAGCTGCACAGCAACACGGGGTGTTACCAGTCCTAGATACCCCCCTCCCTCTACCCTCCCCTGCCTTTGGATTATTCGGAGTTCTATCCCCGTACAAAGGGTTACTTCCAAACCGTACCATTCTCCTCGATCTGTCTCTCAGCAGTGCCGTTGCCTCCTTCTCTGCATCGGCTGCTCTAATCCTTCTCGGCCTCCTTCAATCTGATACAATCACACCTAATGTAGTCACCATTCCGGCCTCCACCTTTGCACACTCCCACGTCCTCTCCTCACTCGCCTCTGACCTAGCATCGGCTGTACTCGTTACTAGCCCCGACTCCTTACAGTCTACAGTTTCCACAGGCGCTTCTACGCTAGATCTCGCAATAAACCCTCTCATTCTAGCCGGATTACTTGGGGTCAACCTCTCCTCTCTCTCCTTGCTACCTGTGGGTATTCTCGATGGGGGTAGGATCATCACAGCGCTGTTTGGAAGGAAGCAGCAGCATGCGGTGTCCATGGGTGTGTTAGCAGCAGCAGCCGTTTCCCTTGTTCTCAGACCAGATGGCCGGGAGAATGCAGCGACGTGGTTGGTGCTGGCGATGGTTCTGCTGAAGCGAGATGATTGGTTTCAACGGGAAGAGGTTTCGGAGCCGTCGGGAGTGAGGAAGCTGGTTGCTGCTGCGCTTGTAGCTGCTTCGATATTGATATTGTGGCCTTGATGCGACATGGCATGAGATGGGTGACAGTGTACCCAACACAGGATGCAATTTGGCATCCAGTAGGGTACTCCACATGGCATGACCGTATGTACTGTAGTGTGAAGCCAAGTTCCAGGAGAATTAGCTCATGTGATGCGTATGTTTATGTGAGTCAATGAAATGAGAAATGGCATGGATCAAAACAACACTGTCGCATGAGATGAATCTAGAGAAGAGACGCTTGGTTTAGCATGAGGGAAGGAAGGGAGTGTATTGTGTCCCCACCCATTACCATGTCAATGTAGCATCACCTGTTCTTCTCTCTGTCATTGAGCTTTGTGTGAATGGAGGAGGAAATCAGGCCCCCCCTTTCCCTCTCCAATCCACCAAGAGGTGCCCCAACAAGGCTGAGTACTTCCGCAACGACGCCAACAGAAGTCTCCCCAGCAGAGTTGCGGAGGGTAGACAGACACCTGACCTGAGTAACAGTTACCATATTCTTGGTCAGTAAGTTCAGCAACATTGCCATGCGCTAACAAGATTACAGCTGCATGTTAATTCAGCGTTAATGTGCTACTATGTACAGGGACATCAACAGAGCTCTTTTGCTTGACCCATTACATGCTAGGCTATACGGAAGGAGCTCTGTCTGAATCAGGCTATCATAGATCGATTGATGCACTTTAACTGGCGCTCCAGCTAAAACGCAAATGTTGGTAGCATTCAAGGTGCGGGGCTGCAGCAAGTTCCCTCTCCATGGCCCACACCTCCTCACCTCCTAACGAGGGTAAGCCATTATGGGAGCTCAAGCCTCAGGTGAGTCCTGAGGGGCTGGTCTCAGAGTCAAAGTGCCTGAGGGGCTGGTCTCAGAGTCAAAGTGCCTGAGGGGCTGGTCTCAGAGTCAAAGTGCCTGCCTCCAGCAAGTTGCATGAAGAATGGTCTCGGATTGCAATGAGTCTAAACCTACAGGGACTACCATGTATTATGGCCAATTGTAGTCCCATACCATCGGGACTATCGTACCATCGGCCATGTATGGGGTGAGTCTCAGAGTGTTGGTCGCAGAGTGCCGGGTTCAAGAAGGTCACGGCAGGAAGGATGCCGCTTCATGAATGTCTCCTTTGAGGAAAGGGAGGAAGCAAGGTGAGGTGTGATTGTGAAAGGATGACCTGAAGGCTATTTGGAATTCTCAGAAACCAGCGGAAATGATGGGAGCATGAATGAAATTCCATTAGATGTGATGAAATTTGACGAGATGAGATGCGACGAGACACGATGAGATGCGATGAGATGAGATGCGATGAGATGAGATGCGATGAGATGAGATGCGATGAGATGCGATGAGATGAGATGCGATGAGATGAGATGCGATGAGATGAGATGAGATGCGATGAGATGAGATGCGATGAGATGAGATGCGATGAGATGAGATGAGATGAGATGAGATGAGATGAGATGTGATGTGATGGAGGGACGGAATGGCACAGTGGAAGGTGGGGGAGGGGGGGGGGGAGGAACTGCTGCAAAAATAAGTGTGTGTGGTACAGAGGAACATAGCACATAGAAATCAAGGCTCATGCAGGTGAAAGTAACATAAAACAAAAACGACCAACACCATTGGAATCGTGTAGAAGGCCAGGTTTAGCATGCCCCCCCAAGCCCCCACCACGTTGCCCCTCGTTCCCAGGCCCCCACCCCCACCTTCTCTTGGCGTTAACTTGTACTTAAGAGGCATCCACGATGTAAGAGCGCGTGGGCAGCACGTGGGTGGAACGTACCTCAACATAAGAGCACGTGGGTCGCACGTAGAGCCCGTTCTCCTTGGCGTACTCGCACGCGGCTTCGCACAGGCGAGCGGCGAGGCCCTCGCCGCGTCGACTCGGCGGGACGTACGTGTGCGTGATGTCCATCACGCCGCGTTTCACGCCGTTCGTCACGCCGCCGCTCTTCCCGGCGCTCGTCGCGCTCGTTGATATGGAAGCTTCCGACGACGCGGCAGCCTGGGGAGGCGAGAGAAGGTCGTATTCGGCGAAGGCCTGCCCGTCGCTCGACATAAACTTATGCGACGCGCTGTCGTGCACGATCGTCGCACGCGATTCGCGGGGCGGATTTTGCGGTAGGGCTTGCGACGCCATGCTGCGAAACGGTGCGACTTCGCCTCCTCGCAGCTGGATTTCGTTAACCCGCCTCTCGCGAATCCCCAGTGTACCAACTGGCGATGATATCACAGGTGTGGCTGCTGAGGGTGTGGTCGTACTCGACAGAAGCGAACGCGACAGAGAGCGAAGAAACATCACTACTTTCCAAGCTAGGGTGATTAATGGCGTAGTAGGGTCAATGCAAGATTGATTTGACTAGGCGGCACAGCTTTGGCAACTGAAGTCCAGCCAACAAATAGCAATACCTAGTAGAGAACCCACTAGCAATTTAGGACCTAGGCCTTAGGAGACAAGGATAAACACAGAGCGACACCAGGTCATGAAAACGGCGGATGTAAAAAAAACTGCCAAGTGAGGAGTAATAAACTACTACTGCCACCGGTTGTTCTAGTCTAATCCTACCACATCGTCTTTATTGACAACATAAGAAGTACAAAGGTACAGGGGTCGGAAGGTCTGCAATGCTACCCAAGAGAAGCTACGCAAGGGAAACAACAACGGTAGTCCAACGTCTACAAGCATCCTGATTTCTGACGACGGTTTCTACATGCATGCTTGCATCCCAGAGCGCGCATCGAGCAGCCGACGCGCAGCGCATGCAGCGCATGCAGCTTTCCGGTCAGGCTGAACTTTTGAGGAGCCTCAAAAGGCGTCACGGTCAGGGTCGAACGGTCCAACCAATCCAAACCATCCATGCACGGTAGGGCGCGATCTCCTCCCTCCCGACCAACCCCCCTCCACCCCCCCCTTCGTCGGTCAGGTCACACGAATAGCTTGGCTGTCCTCTTGCGTTTGTCCTCATTGTCATTGACCTTAGAGTCCGCTCCGCTCTCCGCTGAAAATTCGCCAGCCTCACAATTCACATCACATAATCACATAGTCTTATTATCACATAATAAGATCACATGCTCAGGTATTTATTATCATCAGAGCAGCGAGCAGCTCTTCTTCTCCCACGTACCGTCTTCCTTAAGCCCCGGCCATGGCTTGCACGCGCACCGCTTGTCTTCCGGAATGCTTTTGTACACGCTCTCCACGTGCATGCCGCAACCCATCCACGTGTACTTGCCGCACGCCTTGCACGGAGTCTTGTGACACATGTTAGCCACGTGGCAGCACGAAGTGGGCTTGCTTATTCGGATGGAGACGGCAGCGGGAGGGAGTAAAGAGGGCCGGTGTGACGTGACAAGTATTGTGGCGCGAGATTATCGCCGAGAAAAGAGGTAGGCGATTGACGATGGCGATCAGGACGAGAGCTGAAATGTGCCGCACAAGGCTAGTGAAGGCAGCGGGTGTGGGGGGTACTCACGCAGGATAAATGGGGCCTTAAAACTTCTTCTGAGGAATTGCGTGCGAAGCTTCCACCCTGGCCATGTGACTCGGAAGGGGTACGAAACTTCGATCGAAATTGTTCCGAGTCGTTTTCGACAAAATTCTGGTAGTCCCAACTCATTAGCGGAACAGAGTCTGTCTGTTTTGAGGACAGGTCTTAGCACTTAAAAGTTGCAGATAGATAAATCCCAATTAACATTGTGCTAATCATTTCCATTCACAAAAATTCCCGTACCGAACTTCTGCACTCAACCAAGGCAACCTCTACGGCATTGTGCTAACACAGCTGCTTGAAGAAATCCAATCCTTGTTGGGATCAAGATGGACACAGCCTTGCTTGGATATTTCAACCAAGCAGAGAGGTAGAGACTTCACAGCTCACCTCAAGTAAGCTCGAGCAACTGGCTCTTCACCAAAACTGGACCCAGCACAGCATGCTCTCGAAGGAAGCATGCCTTTGCGACGATCTTGTTGATCAGATCTTTCTTCTCAGCATGAAAGCGCCAACACTGGCCTTGGCCCTTGGAGGTGTCTCTAACAAGAG